AATTTTACCCAAACTAATTTATATATTCAATGCCATCCCAATTAAATTACCAAAAAATCATTTTATTGAATTAGAAAAAAATAAGAACAAAATTCATTTGGAAGAACAAAAAGTCAAGAATATCAAAAGAGCTAACAGAAAAAAATGTAAAGGAAGGAGGTTTAATAGTACCAGATCTTAAACTATATAAGGCAGTAATTATCAAAACTATCTGGTACTGGCTAAGAAATAGAAAGGTAGATCAATGGAACACAGTAGACATACTTTTTTTTTGTTTTTGTTTTAATTTACCATTTTATTTCCCCCTAATTCCATGTAAAAACAATTTTCAACATTCTTTTTTAAAAACTGAATTCAAATTCTTTCTCTCCCTCTCCACTCTCTTCATTGAGAAGGGAAGCAATTTGATAAAGGTTATATATGTGTGGTCATACAAAACATATTTCCATAATAGTCATGTTGTAAAAGAAAAGAAACCAAAATAAAACCCCAAGAAAAATAAAGAAAGTAAAAAAATTATGCTTTGAACTGTATTCAAACGCCATCAGTTCCTTCTCTGGGGATGAATAGCATTTTTCATCATAAGTCCTTCAGAGTTGTCTTGGATCATTTAGATATACAATTTACAGCAGCAAATATACATAATAATCTTGTATTTAACAAGTGTAAAGACCTAAGATTTTGGGATAAGACTTCATTATTTGGTTAAAATTGTTTGGAAAACTGGAAAGCAGCATGGCAAAAATTGGGCATCTTATACCATTTGCCAAGATAAAGTCAAAATGAATACATGAACTAGATATAAAGAGAGCTATTAGAAGAAAATTGGAAGAACATGGAACATATTACTTATCAGGCTTATGGATAGGTAAACAATTTATAAATAAACAAGAGACAGAGAGCAAAGTTAGGTGTAAAATGGATAATTTCAATTACATTAAATTAAAAAATTTTTGTACAAATAAAACAACTGTAGCCAAGATCAGAAGGAAAACAGAAAATTGGGGGGTAAATGTTTAGACAGAAGCTCAGATAAAATAAAACAACTGTAGCCAAGATCAGAAGGAAAACAGAAAATTGGGGGGTAAATGTTTAGACAGAAGCTCAGATAAAGGCCTCATATCTAAAATATATAAAGAACTTTGTGAAATCTATTAAAATATGAATCATTCCCCAACTGATAAATGGTCAAAGGATATGAACAGGAAGTTTTCCAATGAAGAAATAAAAATAATTTATAGTCATATGAAAAATGCTCTAAATCATTATTGATTGGAGAAATACAAATTAAAACAACTTTGAGATATCATTTTACACCTACCAGATTGATTGAAGTGGAAAGCAACAGATGTTGGAGGGGACATGAAAAAAGTGTGACACTAATTCACTGTTGGTTGAATTGTGAACTGATCCAACCATTTTGAAGAGCAATCTGGAATTATCCCCAAAGAGTTATTAAATTACCTATACCCTTTGACCCAGCAATACCACTATCAGCTCTATTTCCAACGATGAAGTAAAAGGAAAAGAACCTATGTTGTAAAATATTTATAGTAACACTGTTGTGGCAAAGAACTGGAAACTGAGGGGATGCCCATCAATTGGGGAATGGCTGAACAGGTTGTGATTGTGATGGAATACTACTGTGCTATAAGAAATGATGAGCTCAGTGATTTTAGAAAAACATGGAAAGACTTGCATGAAATGATGAAGAGAGAAATGAGCAGAACTAAGAGAACACTGCATATAGTAACAGCAGTATTGTTTTAAGAAAGACTTTGAGTTGAATAAGTTATTTTGACTTACAAGTACCCAAATTAACTATAGAAGTTATACAAAGAAAGACACTATCTGCATCCAGGGAAAGAACTGGTAAATAGAATAAATGAATAATTTTATAAATAAATATATATATATATATTTGTGTCTAATGGTAGGATCCTCTAGAGTGGGGGGGAGGAAGAAAAAAATTACACGATAACTGTTGTATATTTTAAAGAAATAGCAAGCTATACATAGTAAATTTGCAATTTCATGTGCAATCATTTTTTAAAAAATTATACTGTTATGGAAATGCTTGTTTTATTCTATAAATTAAAAATAAAATAAATTTTTAAAAAAGAAATGAGAGCAATGCAAGAAAATTATAAAAATATAATTAATAGCATAGTAAAAGGAGGCAAACAAAAATACTGAAGAAAATAATACCTTTAAAAACAGAACTGGGGGCAGCTAGGTGGTGCAGTGGATACAGCACCAGCCCTGGAGTCAGGAGGACCTGAGTTCAAATCTGGCCTCAGACACTTTCATTTATTAGTTGTGTGACCCTGGGTCACTCACTTAACCCCAATTGCCTTGCACAAAAACAAAAACAAAAAACAAACCAGAACTGGCCAAATGGAAAAGGAGGTACAAAACCTAACTGAAGAAAATAATTCCTTAAAAATCAGAATTGGGCAAGTGGAAGCTAATGACTCTATGAGATCAAGAAACAATAAAACAAAGTCAAAAGAATGAAAAAAATAGAAGAAAAATGTGAAATATCTTATTAGAAAAATATCTAACCTGGAAGACAGACCAAGGAGAGATAATTTAAGAATTACTACCTGAAAGCCACAATCAAAAAAAGTACCTAGACACCATATTTTTTAAAAAATTATAAAGGAAAACTGCTCAATCTTGGACCCAAAAGCTAATTCGAAATTGACAGAATCCATCAATCACCTCTTGGAAGAGATCCTAAAATTAAAACTCTCAGGATTATTATAGCTCCAGGTCAAAGAGAAAATACAGAAAGCAGTCAGAAAGAAACATTTAAATATTAGGGGGCCACAATCAGGATCACCCAAGATTTAGCAGCTTCCTTGCTGAAAGTGTGGAGGGCTTGGAATATGACATTCCAGAAGGCAAAGGAGCTAGGAACACAACCAAGAATAATCCAGAAAAACTGAATATGATCCTTCTGGGGGGAAAATGGATATTTAATGAAATAGAAGACTTTCAAACATTCCTGATGAAAAGACCAGAACTGAATAGAAAGTTTAACATTTAAACTCAGAGAGTTCTTCAGAAACCTCACGTTGTCTGGGAATGAATACTGAACAGGATCAAAATTCAAATTCTATCTCTGACATTCACTGCAAGTGTGATCTCGTGTTAGTCACTTGACTTCTCTTGGGCCTCCATTTCTTCAGTTATGATTCTTTTCTCCCAGAGCCCAATTCAACGTGAGTCCTTAGTCAATGCTACCATAAGAGAGCCATTTGCTTGGATCCCATGCTCCCACAATGCCCAGGGCTGAGACATCTTTGGACGACGTCTTTCTGAAGTTGGTTTCTTTCTGCAGCATTGCCTTGGAGGTACACTTCCTGCATACAGTGTTCAACCATCTAGGGAGTCTCATGAGGGAAGCCACCATAGAGAAGACAAGGGAGACTGGGGGAAATGAAGCATTGTGTGGGACTCATCATGGCTGACCACCAAAGTGACTCAAGTTCCAGGAGAAAGCACGGTCTGAATTGCAGCTTTGACAGGGGTCAACACAACCAAGGCTGACACCATAGCAGGTTTGCCATATGCTGGTGTCCCTCTCCCAATGTGTTCAGGAGATTTAGAAATTAATTAGGAAGTGGAGCTAAGGCTTCTGGGAAACATCGTAGGGGAAGCAGGGGGAATGGCAGCCATTTGGGCACAGGTGCTGAGTATCTGATGCCCGAGTGAAATATGCGTTATTACTATGCTATTCTATTTTTATTAAAAAACTTTGCTTTAAAAAAAAAAGAAAAACCAATAAGCCTTTTCCAAGTCCTCCTTAATCTTAGAATCTTCCCTCTCTTGCTTAGCTCCAATTTATCTGGATTTTGGCAGGATTCCACATAGTTGTAAGTCTGTCATCTTCCCCACTACACTGTGCATTCTTGAAAGCAGCGGCTGTCCCTTGCCTTTCTTTGTGTCCATGGAACTTGGGAAAATGTCTGAAACACAGTAGGTGCTTAATAAATGATTGATGACTTGAAGAAAATATAGGAAAGATCTCATATGGTACAGCCATAGGCCTTTTGGGAATGCTTTCAAGAGAGTTCCATGCCCCAAAGTTCTAAACAATGACTTCTCATAGGATCATAGATTTATCACAAGAAGAGAAATGAAAGGCCTTAGAGTCCAACCCCCTCATTTCAGAGATGGTGAAACTGAGGCTCAGAGGTTCAAATTCCAATTCAGGTTATCTTTCTTTTTTTTTTATTAATTTTTTTTTAGTTTTCAACATTCACTTCCATACGCTTTTGAGTTTTAAATTTTTCTCCCCCTTCCTCCCCAAGATGGTGTGCAATCTGACGTAGGCTCTACATATACATTCCTATTAAACATATTTTCACATTAGTCCTGTTATAAAGAGGAATTAGAACCAACAGGAGGAACCACAAGAAAGAAGAAATAAAACAAAACAGAAGAAAAATAAAGGGCAAATAGTCTGCTTCAATCTGCATTCAAACTCCACAGTTCTTTCTCTGGATGTGGATACATTTTCCAGCACGAGACTTTTGGAGATGACTTAGATCCTTGCATTGCTGAGAAGGGCTAAGTCTATCAAAGTTAGTCATTGCACAATGTTTCTGTTACTGTGTACAACATTCTCCTGGGTCTGCTCACTTCACTTAGCATCAGTTCATGTAAGTCTTTCCAGGTTTTTCTGAAGTCTGCCTGCTCATCATTTCTTACAGCACAACAGTATTCCATTATATTCATACACCACAACTTGTTCAGCCATTCCCCAACTGATGGGCATCCCCTCAATTTCCAATTCTTTCCTACCACAGAAAGAGCTACTATAAATATTTTTGTACATGTGGGTCCTTTTCCCATTTTTTATGATCTCTTGGGGATACAGCCCTAAAAGCTATTGCAGGTTATCTTGGCCCCAATTTAACACTCCCTGCTCTACAGCATATAAATACTTCTAGTGATAACACGATTCATGCACCTGCTTTCATCTCACTCACCTAGACAGAAGTTCCTTAGGCCTTTCGGCTCCAGCATCCAGGATTCCTCAAAACTGGAAATGAAATCTTCTCTGAGAACTGGAAATCCTGGACATGGGGAATAAGGAATGGATGAGGATGGAGAGAAATGTATAATTTACTCCTCTTTAGGAAAACGGGACATGCAACCAAGGACAACACCATAGTTCCCAGGTCTCTTCAAGGATGGGTGACACGTTATTTATTGCTGGGAACTTGGGGGTCGGGAGGAGATCATGTAGCCAATTGGGAATTAGAAAATTCTGTCACTGACTGCCTCCTTCATAGAAGGATAGACACACTTCATAGCTCCCATTATCTGGAAATGAGAGCCAACTAGTCGTTCAGTGATGAGAGTCTTGGGCCTGGAGTCAGGAAGACTTGAGTTCAAATCCAAATACTTAGTAGTTGTGTGCTCCTGAGCAAATCACTTCACCTCTGTTTACCTCAGTTTCCTCCACTGTAAAATGGTGATAATAACAGCACCAAACTCACAAGGATGTTGTGAGGTTCAAATGCAATCATCAAACTGTAATCACTGGATCAAGATGTTACAAATGTTTGCATTCTTGTGGCACAGATGAAAACCATGAACATTAGGCATCTGAATTACAACTCATCTTGAAAACGTCATGGACTATCACAAAAGTTCTATAAAAAACAGATCTTATATGACCTCCCATTGCAGTGTTAATTCTGTTCTGATTTTTAACTTATATTCTACTAATGTTATTGTTCTTCTATCTGAATTTTCAAAGGAACTGATTCACAACCTCGTTGAATCATTCTGTAGTTTCTGTGGGAATCTAGCCTGTGTGCCAATGGTAGAAAAAAGAAAGTTCTGTTTGAAAAGATTTTTTTCCCTTGCATTGCTTGTAGTATATATAAATATTATTTTAAAAAAACCCAAGGTAATATATTCAACTGAATTTCAAGTACATTTACCATTTAATGCACTACATGTCATTAGCTGATAGAAGAATAAATCTTTTATATAGTAGCTAGCATTTAATTTTGTAAGCTGCTTTGTGGGCTAAGAACAAAAAATAAATTTCCATCTCTCATCAGCACAGCTTGGAAAATTCTCTTACCAAAAACCCAAGTCCCTTTAGAATCAGAGGTCAAAGTGGAAATAGAAAGAATTCAATAGTCAGCTCTAGAAACTCCAAAATGAAAACTCACAGAACCATCACAGCCAAAATCCAGAGCTTTAAGGTCAAAGAAAAAATATTTCAAGCATCCAGAATGAACAAATTCAAACACTGAGGAATCATTTTAGGATCACACATAATTTAGCAAGAACTACTACAAAGGAGTAAAAACTTTGGAACATTCCAGAAGATAAAGAATATTGCTTATAGCCAAGAATAGCTTACCCAAAAGAAAGAAGTATAATCCAAAGAAGGGAGAAAATGGCTTTTTAATGAAACAAAGAGCTTCTGACCACTGCTAATGAAAAGGCCAGGGTGTGAGGACTGTGGTAAGATGGCAGAAAATGGCCAAAAAAATAACCAAACAAACAGGCAGGAAAATGCCTAGCTCTCCCAAACCCCTGCAAATAACTTAAAATAATACCTCAGATTGAATTTTAGAGTGGCAGAAATAATAAAACTCGGAGCAAAACAGCTGTCCAACCTTAGACAACTTAAGATGATGTTAGGAAGATCTGGCCTACTTGGGGGGTGGGGGTAGTCTGACTAAGAGCAAAGTGCAGACACTGATGCATCAACAAACAGCAAGCCTTGGGGACAGCTGTGTTGGCAGCAGCCTGGCTACAGGAACTTCCACCCAAAGGTGAAAGTGGATGAGGGGAAAACCAAGGGACCTTCTATTGGCATTGCACATGGGACCTAGGTGTGCTGACCAGGTGTGGTCCTGAGCTGTGGCTAGGAAGAACAGAAGTGAGCGCACACACAGGGTGCTATGGGAGAACAGTGGTGGGTGGTGCACTTCTAAGGACCATGGGAAATAAGAGGATTTGCGTGGCAGCACTGTGAAGGTGAAGGTGAAGGTGACTAGTCCCAGCTAAAGGGTGGAAAGGAATACCTGAGGTCACTCATAAACAAAGGCAGAGGCAGGAAGAGCAGTGACCACACCTGGCCTTGGATCACAGCACACTGAAAGAATCAAAAAAGTGAAAGGCCCCGGGAGAGCTCTGAAAATAATAACATGAAACACCTGAAGCCTGAGACATCATTCCTCACAATCTGGGAACACAGACCAACCCTAGCATAAAGTTAACAGCCAAGAAACAGGCAGTTAAATTTTTCTTAAATGAGTAAACAACAGAAATAGAACATGATCACAGATGGTTTACTATTGTGACAGAAAAGATCAGGGTTCAAATTCAGAAGACAATGAAGTCAAAATAGCTACCTGAAAGCTTAAAAAAAAAAGAATTTTTGGAAGAGCTTAAAAAAAGCCTGTAAAAATCAGAGAGGTAGAGGAAAAAATGGGAAAATAAATAAGAGTAACACAAGAAAATTATAAAATTATAAAAAGTTTGAAAACTTGATGAAAAAATACTTAAAATTAGAATTAGGCAAGGGGAAAGACAGTGACTTTATAAGACATCAAGAAATAATAAAATAAAATCATAAGGATGAAAAAGAGAAGAAAACATGAAATATCTCTCACTGGAAGAACAACTGACCTGGAAAACAGTTCAAGAAGAGAAAACAGAAGAACTGCTGGACAACCTGAAAGTTATGATCAAAAATAGAATCTAGACATTATGCTTCAAGAAATTATTAAGGAAAATTCCCTGAAGTTTTAGAAATAGAGAGTAAAATAGAAATTGAAAAAATCCACCAATCATCTCCTGAAAGAGATCCCAAAATGAAAATTCACAGGAATATTTTAGCTAAGTTTCAAAGTGAAAATACTACAAACAACTAGAAGGAAACAATTCGAATACTGTGGAGCTACAGCCAGGATAACACAAGATTCAGCAGATTCTACATTAAAAGACTGAAGGGCATGGAATATGATATTCTCAAGAGCAAAGGAGCTGGGTTTGTAACCAAAATAACTTAACCAGTAAAGCTGCGTGTAATCCTGTAAGGGGAAAAAATGGGTAATTAATGAATTAAGACTTTCAGACATTCTTGAGGAAAAGATCGGAATTGAACAGAAAATCTGACTTTTAATAAAAGAATCAGGAGAAACACAGGAAGGTAAACATAAAAGTCTAATCACAAGGAATTTACAAATGGCTTCCTGTCTTATATGTGAAAATGATATTTATATCTCTTAAGAAAGTTATCATTATTGGAGTAGTTAGAAAGAATGTACATAGATAGAAAGATTGGGTTTGTGTTGATTATGATGGGATGATCCTAAAAATAAAAATGGGTGGAGAGAGGTAAAATGGAGCAAATTGTCTCAAACAAAAGAGGCATGAACAGAAAAACTTTTACAGTGGAGAGGAGGATAGGGTGGGAGGGTTGGCAGTGTGGGAAACTTATTCTCACCAGAGCTGGATAAAAGAGAGAATAACATACACATCTAGTTGGGTATAAAAGTTTTAACTTACAAAGAAATAGAAGGGCATGGAGATAGGATAAGGAAGGGACTCTTAGAAGGGTGTGTAGATTAGGGAGGAAGTGATAAGAAGAAAACTAGACTTCTGAGGAGGGATAAGTTAAAAAAGAGAAGGATAAACAATGGGGAAAAATATGACAGAGGGAAATAAACTAATAATTATAAGACATATATTATAATAATTACAACTTTGAATTTGAATGGGATAAACTCACCAATAAAACAGAAACAGATAGCAGAATGGATCAAAACCCAGAAACTGACAGTATGTTGTATACAAGAAACACATTAAAAAAGGAGACACACAGAGCAAAAATAAAGGTCGAGTGTAGAATTTGTTACGCTTCAGCTGCTGTAAAAAAAAAAAGCAGAGGTGGCAATCACGACCTCAGACAAAAAGGCTAAAACAGATTTAATTAAAAGAGATAAGCAGGGAAACTACATTATGTTAGTTAAAAGGTACCATAGAAAAATGAAGTAATGTCAGTACAAACATAGATGCACCAAATGAGATAGCATTCAAATTTATAAAGGAAAAGGTAAATGAATTGTAGGTGGAAATAGGGATACTTCAACTTTCCCATCTCAGAACTAGATAAATCTAACCAAAAAATAAATAAGAAGTCAAAAAGATGAACAGACTCTTAGAAAGGATAGATATGATAAACATCTGGAGAAAGCCAAATAGGAATAGAAAGGAGTATACCTTTTTCTCAGCAGTACATGGCATCTTTGCAAAAATTTACCGTATATTAAGGCACAAAAAACTTATAGTCAAATGCAATAATATTAAATGCGTCCTTTTCAGATAAAAAAATTACATTTAATAAAGAACCATGGGTTAAAAATTAATTGGAAACCAAATAATCTAATCTTAAAAAATGTTTGGGGTCAAAGAACAGATCATAGAAATAATCAATAATTTCATTAAAGAGAATAGTAACAATGACGCAACATTTTAAAACTTGTGGGATGGGGCAGCTAGGTGGCACAGTGGATAGAGCACCAGCCCTGAAGTCAGGAGGACCTGAGTTCAAATCCAGCCTCAGACATATAACACTTACTAGCTGTGTCACCCCGGGCAAGTCACTTAACCCCACTGCCTAACCAAAAAACCGAACCCCCCCCCAAAAACCCCAAACTCGTGGGATATAGCCAAAACAACACTTAAGTGAAAATTTATCTCTCTAAATGTGTCCATCAATAAAAGAGAGGAAAAAAAAGATCAAAGAATTGGACATGCAACTAAAAAAAACTAGAAAAAGAACAAATTAAACATTGCCAATTAAACACCAAATTGGGAATCCTGAAAATCAAAGTTGAAAGCAATAAAATTGATATGAGAATAATTAATAAACAAAACTAGGAACTGGTTTTGTGAAAAAAAAAAACCAATAAAATATACCATTGGTTATTTTTTTTAATAACTGTTTTCCTTTATAGTCCTGTGTGTTTTTTTGTTTTTGTTTTTTTGCTTTTTGCTGGGCAATTGGGGTTAAGTGACTTGCCCAGGGTCACACAGCTAGTATGTGTTGTGTGTCTGAGACCGGATTTGAACTCAGGTCCTCCTGACTTCAAGGCTGGAGCTCTATCCACCACGCCACCTAACTGCCCCAGGTTAATATTATTTTGTAAAAGACAGAAGAAAACCAAGTCACTAGTATAAAAAAACAAAAAGCATGGTTACACCACTAATGAAGATGAAATTAAAGAAATCAGTAAGAGTTATTTTGTCCAATTATATGCCAATAAACATAACAATCTAAATAAAATAGAACACCCACAAAAATATAAACTACCCAGACTAAATGAAGAGGAAGTAGAATATATAACTAAACCTATTTTAGAAAAAGAAAGAGGCCATAAATATACTTCCTAAGAAAAAAGCGTCAGGAGCAGAAGTATTTGCAAGCGAATTCTGCCAAACACCTAGAAATCAACTAATTCCAATATTAAACAAATTATTCAGAATAAGAGGCAAAGGAGTCTTGCCAAACTCCTTTTAAAAAACAGATATGGTGCTGACAGCTAAACCAGGAAGAATGAAAACAGAGAAAGAATATTATAAACCAATTTCACTAATGAACACCTAGCTGCCTCAGGTATATAATATAACATAGTAAATGACTACAGTAATCTTGTGTTTGATAAACATAAAGATCTAAGATTTTGATATAAGAACTCACTATTTGGTAAAAATTGCTAGGAAAACTGGAAAGCAGTCTGGCAGAAATTAGGTGTAGACTAATATCTTATACTGTTTACCAAGATAAGGTTGAAATGGATACATGACCTGTCATAAAGGGAGATATCATAAGTAAATCAGAGGAGCATGGAACATACTGCATATCAGATTTATGGATGAGAATTTATAAATAACCAAGAGAGAGAGCATTGTGGGATGCAATATGGATAAATGGTCAAAAGGATATAAACAATTTTTGAAAGAAATCAAAGCTACCTGTAGTCATATAAAATGCTTTAAATCACTGATTTAAAGAGAGTTACCATCTCACACCTATAAGATTGGCTAAAAAGATAAAAGGGGCAAATGACAAGTGCTAGATGGAACGTGGAAAAATTGGGACATTAATACACTGGTCGTAGATTTGTGAACTGATTCAACCAATTTGGAGAACAATTTGGAATTATGCCCAAAGTTATAAAATCATGTAGACCCTTTGATCCAGTAATACCACTATCAGTTCTATTTCTCAAGGTGATCAGAGAAAAAGGAAAAGAACCTTTGTGTTATCGCAACTCTCTTTGTGGTAGCAAAAAAATTGGAAATTGAAAGGATGCCCATTAATTGGGAATGGACGAATAAGTTGTGATATATTACTGTGATGGAACAGTAATGTACTGTAAGAAATGATAAGCAGATTAGATTTAGAAAAACAAACACTTGCATTAAATAATGCAGAGTGAAATGAGCAGAACCAAGACAATGTGGCATTTAGTAAGAGCAATATTATTTAAAGATAAACTCTGAATAACTAAGCTATTTTGAGTAATATGATCATTCAATTCAACTACAAAGGACTTATAAAGGAAAATATTATCCTCTTCCAGAAAAAGAAATGATATATGGAAGTATGCACTGTATTGTTCCATACAGATAGATAGACAGACATAGATATACATAGAAATAGCCAGCCAGCCATCTATCTATCTGTCTGTCTGTCTGTCTGTCAAATGTTGGCCTTCTCTGATGTGGTGTTGGAATGGATAGAGGAAGATAGCTCAGAACTCACAATGTGATATGAAAATAAATTTAAAAAAATGAAAAGACAGCATAGGGCAACAGAAACTTTGAAGTTCAGAGACTGGAGTCAAGAGAAACATAAAAAGAAAACGCAAATAAAAAATCAGTTACTAAACAAGGAGGAACTTGTTACATTTTAATATAGGAAGATGATACATGTATTCCCTCTGAACCCTACCATCAGGGATGATAAGAGTAATTATACAAAAGGTCTTGTGCCTTCAAAACTGGTGAAAATGACAAAAAGAAAACCATTAATATTTGAATATTTTTAATTTTGAAATTCACAAACATCAAATAAAGTAAGTACTTTATGCACACTACAAAACAGAAAAAGCGGATTTTATATTAAGTTCTATTATGTAGAGCTGGATTTTCTAGAATAATTTAAAAAATTCAACATGGCATTTTCAAAGCTATCCTCATTCTTTCTCGACTTTCTCCTGTTCTACCACATGTATTTTAAAAATCCATCAATTTCCTTTCTTTTTTTTTTTAAGTGGAGGAAGGACAATCTTATTCCTAATTTCCTTCACTGCTATCCTCTCCTACTAAAATTGAAAAAGAAAATTGTCAGGAAAAAAGTCAACCGAAACAAGCTCCATCATAATCCATGTCCCAAAAGAGTACTTTATTCTACATCCTGTATCCATCCCCTCTCACTCAGAAGGCAGGTGGTGCAGACCTTGATAAATGCTAAGCAACAGTCGTTGCTCATGACAATAATCAGAGTTGTGACCTCTTTCAAGCTTATTATTGTTATCAATTAGTTCCTCAATTTTACTCACTGCACACTGCATTAATTCATATAGTTACCAGTTTCACTAAAATTGTCTGTTTCACGGCATATTTGTGTTCCATTCCATTCATATACCAAAATTTATTCAGCCATTACCCTATTGTAGACCATCTTAGTTTCCAGTCCTTTGTCTTAACAAACAAAGCTATTCTATTTTGGTATGCTTGAATCCTTTTCCTCTTTTCTTTAACAGAGAACACCCACCAGTGGTATCACTGACTCATAGGGTATATACACAGTTCAGTGACTTTTTTACCTTCACAGCTTCACCAACAATAAATTAATGCATGAGCCCATTATCCCAGAGTCTTTCCAATGCTGATCAATTTCTTATCATCATGGCCAACTGCATGAGTATGAGGTGGAACATGAGAATTGATTTAATTGCATTTATCTAATTGTTAGTGATTTGGAGCTTTTTTTCTTGATTGTTTTATTACCAAATATTTTCTGTCCCTGGGACTTGAGCTCCCATTGGCGAAAAAATGAAAAATTCTTAACACCAAATACCCAGTCAAGAAAAAGAAATTTCCCCAATAATTGATCCTTATTTTCTTGTCCTCTTTAACAATCTAAGAATTTTTCTAATTAGTAGTGATTTGCATTGGTGTTTATAGATGTGAAACATATTTTTACTGTTTATTTATATTTTGTATTTTTCCTCTGAAAATTGCCCATTTATACTTGTTGACCTTATTCCATAGTTTCCATTCTTTCCATTCACCTGTGTATAATTTCTATCTCTTCTTTATATATCTTGAATGTGAAGCCTTTATCAGGGAAACTTTCTGCAAAGATTTTTCCCAGTTAATTGCCACAGTTACATTTTAGATGCACTGGGTTATTTTTTTAATGTGATGAAAATGGCTTATTACATTTTCTGTAATCCTCTCTGTCCCTTGGTTAGCAAAGAACTTAACCTCTATCCAAAACTGAAAAACATATCTTCTTCATGGTTCTTCCAATATATTTGAGGAGATCTTTTTTTAACTAAGTCACGTATCCTTTGGAGCTAATCTTGGTACCATGTGAGAGTGAATTTGAACTCAAGACTTGTGGCTTCAGGCACAGCATACTAGCCACTGTGCCACCTAATTGTTTAAAGAAATCATTACAGAAATAAATGTCCAATAGATACCAAAATATTTATACCAAGACATTTAGTGTCACCAAAGAACAGGAAACAAAATGAATACTAAATTGATTAGGGACTTGCTGAAAAAATTATGGTATATGAAAGCTATGGAATATTATTGAGGAGTAATAATAAACATTAGAATTTTAAAAGTAAAATTCATTATATTTTTAGGGATTTATGAACAGTATAAAATTTGGGAGGTCTAACAAAGCCTATCCTGCAAGAGTCCTTACCTCATTACTTAGATCCATAAGTTTTATCTCCAGCATGACTTCTCCAGTGTATATTCAATTTTGAGCTCTATGTAAAGGCCTTGACATTGACAAAAGGCAATGCTCTTATAAGTCTTCTTTCTGGCATGAATATCCTCATGTCTAGTGATCTCCTTGTTCCAGAGAAAATCATGACTCCATTGAGCAAATCTGTAAGGCTTCTCCCCACTATGAATCCTCTGATGTAAAGTAAGAGATGATCTCTGGTTGAAGGTCTTCCCCCATTGTGTCCACATAAGGCATTTACCCAGAATAAATTTTCTGATGTTTAACAAGCTCTGTACTCACTTGAATGTCTTTCCTCATTCACTACAGTGATAAAATTAATATTTAATAGCAATTCTCTGATGGGAAATAAGGGATGACTGTTAATTGAAGGCTTTACCACACTGATCATATTCACAAGGTTTCTCTCAAGTGTGTATTTTTTGATGTTTACCAAGACAGGAGCTGGATCTGAAAACCTTTCCACATTGATTACATTCATAAGGTTTCTCTCCAGAGTGAATTCTTTGATGCTCAACAAGAATGGATCTTATTCGGAAAGCCTTTCCACATTGATTACATTCATAAGGTTTCTCTCCAGTGTGGATTCTCTGATGTGCAACAAGTTTGGAGTTCTCTGTGAAAGCCTTTCCACATTGATTACATTCATAAGGTTTCTCTCCAGTGTGGATTCTCAAGTGGTTAGCAAGATTGGCCCTATATGGGAAAGCCTTTCCACACTGAGTACATTCATAAGGTTTCTCTCCAGTGTGGATTCTAAGATGCACAGCCAGTTTGGAGGTCTGTGTGAAAGCCTTTCCACACTGATTACATTTATAAGTTCTCTCTCCAGTGTGGATTCTCTGATGTGCAATAAGGGAAGCATGTTCATGAAAAACTTTACCACATTCATGACACTTTTGAGATTTCTCTCCATGGAGGATTTTCTGATTTTTAGCAAGTTCAAAACAGCATTTCAAAGCCTTTCCACACTGACTCCGTTCATAAGGTTTCTCAGCAGCATGGATTTTCTGATGTTTAGCAAGACAAGAGCTGGATATGAAAGCCTTTTGACATTGTTTACATTCATAAGGTTTCTCTCCAGTGTGAATTCTCTGGTGTTCAACAAGAATTGATTTTGTTCGGAAAGTCTTTCCACAGTGTTTACAACCATAAGGTTTCTTTCCAGTGTGAATTCTCTGATGCTCAAGAAGACTCGATCTTCTTTTGAAAGTCTTTCCACATTGATTACAATCATAAAGTTTCTCTCCAGTGTGGATTCTCTGATGAAGATCAAGGCTGGACCTTGTTCTGAAAGTCTTTCCACACTGACTACATTCATATGGTTTTTCTCCAGTGTGAATTCGTTGATGCACATGAAGACTGGATCTTGTTCTGAAAGTTTTTCCACACTGATTACATTCATATGGTTTCTCTCCGGTGTGGATTCTCTGATGTCGAGCAAGACTGTAGTTCTGTGTGAAAGCCTTTCCACATTGATTACACTCATAAGGCTTCTCTCCATTGTGGATTCTCTGATGTTTCAAAAGATTGTTGTTCTGTGTGAAAGCCTTTCCACATTGACTACATTTATATGGTTTCTCTCCACTGTGGATTCTCACATGTACAGCAAGACCAGACCTATTTGTGAAAGCCTGTCCACATAGATTACATTCATAAGTTTTCCTTGTAGTGTGAATTTTATGAGGGTGAATGAGCTTTGAGTTCCGGCTGAAGGCCTTCCCCCTTTCATTCTCTACATAAACTATTTCTCCAGTGCAACTTTTCTGATGTCTAATGAGGTCTGAACTCAAGCTAGATGCTATTTCCTGTTTACATATTTGCATTTCAGAAGGCTTCTCAGAAGACTGTAAAAGCCCAACCTTTTCAGTAAAGCATTCTCTAGCTTCAGTATACTGAAAACACTCATTTCTTGAGGCCATTTTCTTACAATGAATTAGTACTGAATATTGTCTGAAATCCTTTCCATCTTTATAAAGTTTACAGTAACTATTTTGATTTTTCTCTATCTTGATATCCGAGTCACAGATTTCTCTCAAACTGCAGTCAGAGGGACCACCACTCATGAATCCTGTCGAGTGAGATTCTTTTACAGAAACGCTCAGCCTTGCAGCAGTCTCATTTACTTCAAACCTGGTGTCTGCATCTGAAGGAAAGAAACAAACATATTTACAGACACACATGCATATAAATAAATCCTCTTCCCTTCATTGGAAGTAAAATGACTTATATTTTTTCTCCTCAGTCAAAAAGAAGAGTTTTGAAACTTAATAGGCAGAATCAATTAGTTGAAAATGCCATTACTTCACATCTACAGGGTGATTTAATTTGTGAAGAGCTTCACAAACAATAACATTGGATCCTCAGAAACAATCTGTGAGACAGGCAGGGTAGGATTCCCACTATTTTCCAACTCAAGCCATAAGCTCAGAATAGCCAAGTCACATGACCAACATCTCTGTAGGTAAAATTAGAACTCAAACCCTGAGATTGAATATGCACTTTTCCCAGCCCTAAATGGCCAATTGTGAAGTTCAAATTAATTCTACTTTGTAGCTAATTCTACATTGTATTGATTTGATATTTCAATTAATTCTGTATCTGTTTAAGCCCCCTTTCTATGTCCTTTAGTTAAGTTCAAGAATTCATCTTTCCTTTCTGAGCTAGTTTAAAAGTCAGCCTGACCAAAAGTCACCATTATTAAAAGGAAAGGATTGTTATCTTCTATACCATTAGCTCTTTGGTAAATAAGGCATCTGGTATTTAAGTCCTAAAGTTAGCTCTCAGAGATGTATTTTCTCTGAACTGTCCTTGCACCATTAAGGAAAACTGTTATCTCCCTAACAAATCTAGGTACCAGGGAACCTGTTGTGATCCATTAGCAAAGATTACACGATGGAAATGGATCACATAAATCAATAAGCATTCCTTACTGACAGGGAAGTGGTCACTAGCCCTACATGGGTACTAGCCTATCTTCCTTTGGAAATCCAGTCATAATGTTGTTGCTCCTTTGATGATAGCAAACCTACCAACAATCACATTGCATCATGTTCTTTGCTTTCTTGTCCTTTCCAAAACTATACGAAAGCTAGTAAATGTTACCTCAGGTCTTTCTGGTCATTGGGAGAGGCCACTGACCCAATTTATCATGCTCAGAACTTTGTCTCTCAGTTTACCTTGATTTTCAAATGTAACACTTTCTACATTTCACTTCCTTCACTCAAACGCCTTTTGCTGATTATTCTTTTTATTTTGTTGTACTCGGGAAAGCTTTCTGCTTTTCTATATGGACCAATTTTGATGCACTTCCACTTGGTCACCCTTTGTAAATTTCACATGCTAAGCTGAGAAATGGGTTTATTTTTTACCTGAATTACCATGAATTCATTTTTAGAGTTATATTCAACTTTTCTTATATTCTATTCAGATCCATAGATATTATGCCATTTGCTGCACTTATGCTAAAATTTGCTATTATTTCATTATCTATCGTATTTTGAAGCATAATATATTTTCCCTGGTGAGACTTTAAATCTTATTTTTTCAGTTGCCATGTCTGAGGTCATATCAGAACTGCCAACCTTACTGCATCAATTCCTATTAATCTCCTAGCAGCACTTCCCATTTAGAGGTTCATGAACACATCAGGGGCCCGTAAATGTGGTCTAAGAGATTTGAGCTAAAAAATTCTTTAATGGCACTGGGACTTATAAGTAATTGCACAGGACCTCTCTATGCTCCATGAGCAAAGCAGAATTGCAATAACTCAAAAGAAATGAGATGCACAAATTTAGAGAATCCACCCCAAATATTCACATGGACTATTTGTGCCTGACCTGCAGTGGAGCATTCCAAGCTCACATTGGGCTGATTAGCTGCGGTCAGATACACCATAACTTGACTCTAGCATTGTGCCATCGTTTTGGTCCTCTTCAAGAATGAAGGACACTAAGCAAGGGGCTCATGACTATGGTCTAAGGAATTTGAGCTAAAAAATTAATCTTTAATGTCACCTTAAGCAGTAAATAATTGCCCAATTTTGTTACAACACATTTTTCCTCTGGGACAATAAGCATGTATATGTTTGAAACAATAGGTTTCTTTAATTCAGTTATTCCAAATAGTCATGATCAGGCATAAATGATTTTAGTATTCACGCAGTGATCATATCAAAACTGACGCCTTTAAACATAATATGTTTTTCAGTCCACCAGCAAATCGTTTCCAAGCTGCCAGAAAGGTTTGACATTCAAGTGGAAGTCAATTTCCAGAGGATGGTCACAGTTATGCACATACCTTCATTTCCCTTATGTAGTAGTATACTGCACCAAAGTAGTTTTCTCATTCCAATATTACCTTGTAATTGCATCTCATTAGTGCTGTAATCATCGGATCAAGATGGTACAAATGTTTGTATTCTTACAATGGAGATGGCAGCTCTTTGAAAAACATGCTCATCAGGCATGGACATTACAAGACATCCTGCAATCACTAGGGACCATCACAACCATTCTACTAAAAAACACCTTATATTGCTGCATATTGCAGTGTTAAGGCTGTTTTTTTTATTTGAACTTATTTTCTGCTTATGTTATTCTTCTTCTATCAGGCAGATTTTCAAAGGATCTTGTTGGTAACATAGATCAGTCATTCTGCAGAATTCTGGTGTTTCCTTAAAATTCTTGTTTCCTTAAAAATGTTGTTTATGTAAAAGCACTGTTTTTTGAAAAATGTAAAACAATATAAGCATTTATCACTTAATAAATTTTTTTATCTATAAATAAACCTTTTATCTATTAACTAATGGTTTGTTTTGGTGACTTGTTTGTGGGCTAAAAAGTAAAAAAATTAATTTCCATGCCTCAGCAAGAGAGGCTATAAAATTCTCCTATATTCCCCACCTTATCCATGTGTGAGTGCACATTTTCGCTGTATTCTGGTTATAAAACAACATTCCAATGGGATAGAGAGCTGAGTGTACCAGTCAGAAAGACCTGAGTTCAAATCCTACCTTCAGACACTTTTTAGTGCCGCAACCCTGGGCAAGTCACTTAGCCTCTTCTTAATTCTGTTTCCTGAACTGAAAAATGGGGATAACAGTATCTACCACCCAGCTTTCTGAGGATCAAACAAGATGACTGTAAAGCACTTAGCCCAATGTCTAGCACATTGCAGGCACTACTTAAATGCTATTTATTATTACCATTTTTGTTGTGTTTTTTTGTTATTAATTCAACTGGATGCAGAACCACATTGAAGATTGAGTTTCATGGCTCTTGAACCAAATACTGCAAGCCTTTGTTCAAAGAAAAAAGTTCAATTCTTAAATGAATTTCATATTATATTATGTCTAATATCTTCCAAGTTATAATTTATTTGATTAAAATTGCTATTCATAATCAACAAAATCTGTAAAATAAAGAAATTTAAATCAAAGTCTTACAGGTAATAAGTCAGAACTCTTGCTATATATTTTTCAAAAATTCTTGCAGTAAGCCCTACATTAAATTTTTGTTATTATTTTATGCTTAGGATATTTTGTTTTCATAATATAAGCAGAATGAAATTTTACATTTTATAATAATACATTGTAATGAAAAAGTTAATTTGGTGCTTTGAAGAATAACAGATAATTAATGTCATAATTAAATGCATAAATAATAAGAAAAATACAAGTAATTGTTTAAATGACTTGGGAAGATACAAAGCACACTTATTATCATTGCTGAAAGAGGTCCTAAGAACAAAAAATTCTGAGAACCACTGCTCTGAAGTCATGGTTGTCCTTTGCATGGATCGGAGTTGATTCAGAATAAGTGTTCTACTCATTCTGTTGATTCGGCTAATTCAAGTCTTCCCAGGTTTCTCAGAAACTGTGCCTTTTATCATTTCTTAAAGCTGAGCAACATTCCATTTTATTCTTAGACCATCAATCATTTCCCAATATATGGCAACTTTAGCACGTATAATTTTGGACTGTGTCTATGGGTTTTTCATTAATTTAATCTCTCTTTAATCCATTTATTTGATGGGTCTACCAGTGGTCATCACTGGGTCAAAGGCTATCCAGGTGAGTAAGTCTGTGGGCAGAATCCCAAACTGTATTACAGAATGAAATGCCTTCATTTTAATGCTAGGTGAATCTTTGTTTCAAGGGTATTTTTTATATATGACATGTACTCAGATTCTGCTTCCTAATGCATTCTGCTACCCTCCTCCATTATTATGGTTGAATCCATCCCACGCACATTTAGTTATGACAATGAAGTTTTCCACATCATAACCTCTTATCCTCTTTGCCCATGCCTTAATCTTTAGAAACAAAAAACAGACGGGGAAAGAGAGGGGATCAATACTAGTAATTTATCATTGAAATGGCATGATCCTCACTTTTCATCGTACTTTGTCCCAGATGACTGGTTGTAACACTATCTTACTTAAAAGTCTCCTGTCTTTTTAATCTCCACTATTTGAAGTATCCTGTATGGTGGGAACATTTTCCATCTTGAGGCAGCTGGTTGGCAAAGTGGAAGAGCTCCGGACCTGGGGTCAAGAAGACTTGAGTTCAAACACAATCTCGGATTCTTGCTATCTGTGACACTGGGCAAGTCACAGCACCTCTGTTTACCCGTTTCCTCCTCAGTAAGAGGAGGATAATAAAATAGCACCTACCTCCCAGGGTTGTGGTGTGGATCAAATGAGCTAATATTTGTTAATCGTTTGGCATGTAATAGGTTCCATATCAATGTTACCTTTTATCATCAGTATTTTGATCTTGATCATTTCCTCACCACCTCTGCTCCCCTTAAACTGCTCCTGTCCTCTCACACTCCATTCATTTATGTCCCTGTTGAACTTAATTTATTTCCAAACCAAAATTCTTTCACCAGGATCAGGTAAGAGTGTGGTTCATGGTCTGTAGTTTCTTCTCAAGCCTATCTGTTGCATTCCAGATTGTGAGCTCCTTGACAGCAGGGACTGTCTTTTATCCTTCCTGGTATCCCCAGAGCTTAGCACAGTGCCTGGAACACAGCAGGTGTTTAATCAATGTTCATTGACTAACTGGGCCCAGGGCTGATACCAGGATCCAACCTCTCTCTTGTTCCTGGATTCTGGTCTCTTGCTTAATTATCAAATGCAGGTTATGGCCTCAGCCCCATTTCTGTTTATCTCTTGGCTCTAATCACCTACAAGGAATTACTTTTTCTGGTTCAAACCCTGATTGGACCTGACCAGACCAAGTATGGGACATCACAAAGATGTCTAAGTTACCAGAAAGTTTCATGCTATGGGCTTCCTAGGAGTCTCTAGCTCCCAACTCCCTAACCTTAAGGTGGTGATCACCTCAATGAATGTGGCCAAGGCTTTTCTGAAATTGGAGACAGATTGGGCCATGGAGATCAGGAAAGGGATGTGGGTTGATTGCTTATGCAAGCTTCAGCATGGATAACTACTTCCATGTATGGCAGTGACCTTCACTCCCTCTCAAATGCTACTGAATGGAGATGAGAAAATCATGAAAGCAGCTTGGCTGAATCTACTACAAATTCAGGTTATGTAAACTGAGCTGGATTCTCATTGTGGCAAGGTAATCTTTCTACCTCTCCCTGACTCACTATTTCATTCTTCACATCTTTTCTAAATCTTTTCAGCCCTCCCCAACTCTCCTATTTGGTTTACTCCCTTCCACCCTCTCTCAGCTGAGAATCTGGCCTCACATTTCCTCATTTGCCATGAGCTCTCCTTATTTTCCTCCTATCTCATAAACAGGTGGATTTACTGCCTGCCAAAGCAAACCCCTTTACGTGGATTTCCTATAGGATCATAGATTTATCACTAGAAGGGAAATGAAAGGCCATGGTGTTCAACCTCCTAATTTCAAAGATGGGGAAACTGAGGCTAAGAGGTTCAGTGACTTTCCCAAAATCATACTGCTCAAAAGCATCTAAAAAAAGAATTCTAAGTCAGGTCTTCCTGACCCCAAGCCTAGCATTCCCTTTACTATAACACAGATGCTTCTTGTGATAACAGCCCTCATATATCTGCTTTCATCTCACTCACCTGGACAGGAGTTCCTTGGGCCTATTTGATCCAGGATCCATGATGCTTCCCTTTCCTCAAAATGGAAGATCAAATCTTCTCTGAGAACTGGAATTCCTTGGTGTGGGGAATAAGGAAGGGATGAGGATGGAGAGAAACTTAGACTATACTCCTCTTTAGGGAAATGGGACATGCAAGCTAGGGCCATGGGATGGTTCCCAGGACTGCTCAAGGATGGTTGACATGGGAGTTTTCCAGCATCACCTCCTTGTAGAGCTTTTTCTGGGAATGGTCCAAGAAGCACCACTCCTCCTGGGTGAAGTCCACAGCCACATTTGTTGTTGGGGGCTTGGGTGCTGGTAGATCATGCTGCCAATTCAGAACTAGAAAATTCTGTCTTTGCCCCCTTCCTAGAAAGATGGGCACATTTCATACCTTCCATTCTCTAGAAATTAGAGTCAGCTGGTAAGTTCAGTGCTGAGAGCCCTGGGTCTGGAGTCATGAAGACTTGAGCTCAAAACCAGCTTTAGTTAGTAGTTGTGTTCCTGCACATGTCACTTAACCCTTGCTTGCCTTGGTTTCCTCAACCGTAAGATGGGATAACAATAACACCAAACTCACAGGGTATTATCAGGATCACATGAGATAATATTTCTGAAGTACTTAGCACAGTGCCTGGGACAGAGTAGGCCTATGTAAATGCTTATTCTTTTCCCACCATCTGTGCTGGAATTTGGGGGAAGAATGAAGGAAGAATAAAGTTAGACTTGCTATACAAGGCAGGACAAGGATTAACGAGCTATCAATTTGCACTTGTTAACAAGAACATTTTAAAGACCGGTCCCATCCCAAAGAGGTAGGATTTGTCTTGCTGGATAGGGGGTTCCTTTTACTGCCCATCTTTGAGGAAAATCTGCATGGGCAGTTTTCAGAGATTTTGCAGACAAAATTCACGTCCAGGCAGGGGTTACGCTAGATAACTTCAGAGATTAGTTCTAAGTCTGAAATTCTGTAAACTCTGTTAGTTGTGAAAACCTGAAGCTACCTAAAATAGGAAAGAAACAGCTTCAGGAGCTGTCACAAAATGCAAAGACCTATTATCAGGAAAACCAGGGAGCAGGAGAGCCCTGTTGAGAGACCACCATTTTTACCTTTCTAATAACTGAAAAATGCTCAAACCCTGTACACTAGGGAAGGAAGGAAGACACTCCTTTGACGGCAGATTCCGAGTTCCCAGGGGAAGTTGTACTTACCCACGAAGAGCAGGCTCTGGGAGTTTTCCAGCATCACCTCCCTGTAGAGCTTTTTCTGGGAATGGTCCAAGAGGCCCCACTCCTCCTGGGTGAAGTCCACAGCCACATCCTTGAATGTCAGTGACTCCTAACCATCAAAATTCACAAGACTTAGAGCTGAAAGAGACTGCAGAATTCATCCAGCCCTCATCAATGTATAGGAGGAAACTGAAGCACAGAGAAGGGATTTCTTAAAGATTATCTCAGGAGTGTCAGAGCCAACACTTAAAACTGTAGTTATTAAAAACCAAGTGGGATGAGAAAAGCATTTTATATTTGCAGTTGGAATAAAGTTGACAAATAGCTTATCATGAAATGTTTCTCCCTATGGAATCAAAAGGGTTTATGTTCTATCAGTGAGGTATGAGAATCTATAGAGGAGAAAGAGAGGTGATATGAAACTTTTTCCTCATCAGAACTGTCTTAGTGATATGTTAAGAAAATTCTATGAAGAAATTGTGAAAAGCCATCAAGTTCCGTGTATTCTAGGGGTAAAGACATTATCTCTGGTCACTGAAAAGACAACAAAGAAAAAGAAATAATCTAATTCATTTCCTAAAAGTCTAAAATAAAGTCTTACCTACATGAAAATGTGAAGAGGATTCATAAGAGAGAGTAATAAAAATCTGGACTATACTGAGTAGTATGAGATTTCAATAAGTCAAATGAAGAGTTATTTATGGCTATACTGAGGGCTTGAGGTGACCATAGATAAGACTTGTCATAGCCAAAACATCTGGTGCCTTTGCTTTGTGATTGCTAAAACCTGTTAATGGCATATATTCATTAATTTTCATATTTCATTGTATAGAAATGAGTAACTATGATGGGGAAAGGAGGGTTCCTGCATCTATTAAAAATGTAATAGTTTATTACTTGGGGTTGGAGACTGAGCTAATTCATGAGAAAGACATTGCCAAATTATGAGACATTGTCTAAAAATATCCCTAAAACTCTAGGACACTGCAGAGCAAGAGTCATTGATGGATGAAATAGAAGAAATTGTCCAGATGTGAAAATGCCTTGATACTTGAAAGGTCATGTACTTTGCCTGCCTCCTACATGGAGAATGTGTTAGGCCTCAATGCCTTCTTATCTGATGCTCTCTCATTTCATTATCTGTCATTTCCATTAGTGTTATATTTGCTTTTTCAGACATTCTATTTACTTAGGAACAATACTTAGGACAATGTCTTTTAAATTTCTTCATTTTGATTCCTACTTTAACACATCTGATTTATGTTTTTTTGAAATCCATAGTTCTCCTAGAACCTCCTTTTATTTCTTAATTATTTACCTTCTGAGTAATTAAGCCATTTATTAGTCTTTTTCCACTTTTGAGATTCCCAAGAATTTACAAACCTTTCCTTTTCACTAGGACCTCTTGAGTCACTATTCTTCACTGCACGGTATCCACATTACGGGCTCTCACTATAGGAAGGCACTACTTTTATTGATTGATAATTTGTGTCTTGATGCTCTAACTCGAATTAGAAGCTACTGCAAACTCCTTCCTTCTCAAACCTCCCACATACACCCTTCACCACCACGGGGTGAGGCCATGAACTCCAAACTCCATTTAAAGAGAAAGCTCAGTTCACACATCTCAGTTCTGACCAGATGCCATTACCTTTGGACCTCTCTGAATGCCATCCCCAACATGTCTAAGAAAGCCTATTGTTGGGACATCATCCTGTAACATCTTATGAGCTTTAGTATTTCACCTCATTATTACCCTCTGCTTCTCCAATTAGAGCGTGGGGCATGAACTCCAAGCCTGCATTTAAGGAGAGGGCTGAGCTCAGACCTTTTTTTTCTCCTCACCTGGCTGCACTACTTTGGGACTTGTGATTGACTTCTCCACCATGCCCCAGTGTCTGGTGTGTTCTCCCCTGACCCCTTGTTGGCTTTTTGTGTATCTTCCCCCTTGAGATTGTAAGTTCTATGAGGTCAGGGACTGTCCTTCTTTTTTGGTATTTGAATCCTCAGTCCTCAGCACAATGCCTGGCATATCATAAGTACTTTAACAAATGTTTACTGAGTATTAGCCACCCAAATAGTCTTATCTGAATATCTTTCCTCTTATTTTAGTTTAAATATTGAGGCCAAGAAATCTCTTACCCTACAGAAAAGTAGGAGGGGAAGGGGATAAAAAGACAGAATAGAAGGAAGGGAAGATTGGGGGAGGAGGTAGTCAGAAGCAAAACATTTTTGAGGAGGGACATGAGTAAAAGGAGAGAGAGAACAGAATAAGCAAGGTGGGAAATAGGAAGGAGGGAAATACTGTTAGCAACAGTAAATTTGAAAAAAAAATTTTTGAAGCAACTCTCTCTGATAAAGGCCTCATTTCTCAAATGTATAGAGAACTGAGTCAAATTTATAAAAATAAGAGTCATTCCCCAGTTAATAAATGATCAAAAGATATCAACAGTTTTCAGATGAAGTAATCAAAGCTATCTATAGCCATATGAAAAAATGCACTAACTTCTGACTAGAGAAATGCAAATTAAAAGAATTCTGAGGTACTACCTCATACCTATTAGATTGGCTAATAGGACAGAAAAGGAAAATGACAAATGGTAGAGGAAAGGTGGGGAAAATATGGCATCAATGCACTGCTGGTGGAGGTGTGAAATGATTCAACCATTCTGTAGAACAATTTGGAACTATGCCCAAAAGACTATAAAATCATGCATACACTTTGACCTAGCAATACCACTACTAGGTCTGTATCCCAAAAGAGATTAAAAAAAAAAGGGACCTATATATACAAAAATACTTATAACAGCTCTTTCTGGGGGCAAAGAGTTGAAAATTGGGCAATGCCCATCAACTGGGGAATGGCTGAACAATATGATTGTGATGGACTACTATTGTGCTATGAAAAATGATAAGCAGGATGTCCGGAAAAGCCTGGATAGACTTGCATGAGCTGATGCAAAGTGAAATGTACTGTGTACAAATCAACAGCAATATTGTAAGATGATCAGCTGTGAATGACTTAGCTATTCTGGGCAATACAATAATCCAAGACAACTCTAAATGACTTACGATGAAAAATGCTACCCATACTCAGAAAATCACTGATGGTGTCTGAATACAGCAGCATACTTTTTTTTTTGCTTTCTTTAGGGTTCTGGTTTTTTTTTAATCTATATTTTCTTTCACAACACATATGTATAACCTATATCAAATTGCCTCCCTTCTCATTGGGGCAGGGGGAGGAAGGAAAGGAGAGAATTTAGAACTCAAAGTTTTAAAAATGAATATTAAAAACTGTTTTATGTGTAACTGGGGAAAAACAAAATACTAAATAAGAATAAGGAAAAAAAATTGAGGCCATTCAATGTGCATCACTTCCAATCACAGCTTCCTTTCTGACATCTCAAAGTGGCTATCTAGTGGATATCTTAAATTCAACATGCCCACAATGGATTACATTATCTTGCCCCTAAAGTTCCCCCACCCTCCTCCCTTCCTTATTACAGTTAAGGACGACAAGAACTTCCCACTCCCTGGAGTTCAAAACTGAGGTGTCACCCTTGACTCCTATCTCTTATCTGGCTTATTCAGTGTTGCCAATACTTCATTTCACTTTTGCAACATCTCTCAAACAAAGCACCTTCTCTTATGTTGCAACCACCCTGATGCAGACCCTTACTGCCTTATCCTCGGACTATAGCAATAGTTTGCTGGTGGGTTGGCCTGTCTCAAGACTACCCCTAGTCCAATGCATACCTCATTTGGCCAACAAAATGATTTTTCTACATCAAAGATCCAACCACATCATTCCCCTACTCACTACTGTACCTGTCTGGCTATATCCTGTGCTGCCTTATCTGACTGTGGTTAGCAAAGCACCCTGAAAATTCTCGTAACAGGATTAAATATATTATTTAAAATGCACTTGGTACACAAAAGGTACCATATAACTAGGTCCAACTACATTTACATTTTGCTTACATGTCACTCTCCCTCCACCTACTACTCTGACCTGCCGACACTGACCTCCTGGCTGATACCTGGTTAAGACACCTGGTTAAGACCCTCCGTGTCCCGACTCTAGGCCTTTCCAATGGCCCTCTCGCATGCTTGGAATGTTCTCTCTCCTCACCTCCACCTGCTGGCTTCCTTCAAGTCTCAGCTCAAACCTCACCTTCCAAAAAAAACCCTTTCCTGGTCCCTGAAACTGCTGGATCCTTCCCCTCCCGCTACAGTGTCTCTAGCTTTTATGGACACAGATGCCTAAATGTCGTCTCCCACATCAGACTGTGAGCTCCTTGAAGGCAGGGTGATTTCCTTTGTATCCACAGGAGGTTTGAACAGGGCCTGGCACAGAGGAGTCACTTTCTAAATGCTTTTTGACTTGAGCTAAGAAATGGCAAATGGGAGGGATTGAGAGACCTGGGAAGACTTGTGTGAACTGAGGCAGAGTAAATGGATCATGTTTGCTGTGACTGCAAGACTGCAAAGGAAAACAGCTGGGGAAGATGTCGGGGCTCTGCTCGGTCCCGATGGGAGGCGGGGGGGGGGGGGGGAGGCTTTTCCTTGACCTTCAGTTGGAAACGACAGCACAGAAAGGATCTCTGTGTAGTGGAGACTATTGCATGAAGTCAGGTGTGAGGAGGGACAGCCAGGAGGGCAGCAAGTTGGGAAGTTACTGTTGGAGGTGAAAGAGCTCATGAAGCAGTTCAAACCCGGGGGAGGGCAGGGCAGTGCTGTTACTGCTGTATCCTATCCGTTTTTTAACCACCACCCTTGGTGACGGAGTCGAGCCCAGGGCTGCCCCGCACTCACCTGCCATGGGGGCCTCGGGGGTCCGGGGGCCATTCCCTCGGCCTCCCTGCCTGGCCCAGCTCCTGATCCTCTTCAGGGGAGGGAGAAGGATCCGGGGTAGACGTCTCTGCCCTCACGCCCAGGCGGGGGGCTGGCCTACAAGGATTTACGGAGAGTGAGACCCCCGAGGAGTCCCAAAGCCCTGGCACTGTCCTCGGGGGTGGGCATGGGGACCACCCTCCCCCCCGTTCTTCCGTCTCTCCTGTCCCGCTCCCCTCCCCCATCGCCCCACAGACACCCCCGAGGCAGGAAGGGGCTTCCCATCCCCCACGAAGGAAACAAGCTCCGGGACTCCGGGTCCGAACGAGGCCTGGAGATCAGGCTGTGGGACCCCTGGTCCGGGGGGGAGGGCGCCCCAGGACCCTGGGGAAGGTTAAGGGGAGCCGGGCCAGGAAGTAGGGGCCAGGAGCCGGGCCCCGGAGGGAAGTCCTCCCGGTGTCCTCGGAGGACACTCACCCAGAGCTCCGAGGGGAAGGAGGCAGCCGGCGGAGGCGGGGTGGCGCCGGGAGCGCCTCGGACCCCCGGGAGGAAGCGGGAGGAGGAAGGGGGAGGAGGGGGAGGAAGGAGGAGGAAAGAGAAGAAGGGGGAAGGAAGGGAAAGGAGGGGGGAGGAAGAGGGAGGGCGGGTCCCAGAGCCCAGGCTCAGGGCTAGCCTGCTCTGAGGGCTCCTCCAGCCCCAGAGCCCCGCCCACCTCTCCGCCCATAAGCCCCGCCTCTAGCTCCTCCCCCATAGGGAAGGTCTCTTGGGAGACCAGGGGAAGTGAGCCCCCGATTGGTCACTGAGTTTGTTCTCTGATTGACGGGAAGGTAGCGTGCCTTCTGATTGGCGGGAGTTTAGTGCATCCTCTGGCATCCGTGACACAAATTTCTGCTCTGCCCTTTCGGGCCAAGTGCTAGGACAGAGTTAAGCCGTTCTGTTCCAGACAGCCTTTGACCCTGCTTGTAACCATCTTGTGTCCAATCAGGGGCATCCACCTTCCCCTGAACCTGTGATAAATGGGGGCATCAGGTGAAGGGGGCGGGGGGGTTGGAAGAGGCTTCCTGAGAAGCATCTGTCTGAGCGCATGCGCTCTTGCTCGGCCTGGGGGGAGGGGTGCGCCGACGTCCTCCGAGGTGGAAGAGGCCCGTGAGTTCAGAGTCTGTGCGTGTTTGTGCGGTGCCGTCCGCACCCCGCGTGATCCAGTCCGGGGGAGCATCCCCTGTTACAGTAGGGAGGGTAGATGGAGAGCGACGGGGGGAGACAGGTGTGACCGCCCCGGGGAGCGTGGGCTCCTGGGTAGCTGTAAGTGAAAGCTGGGAAGGGGTTGGGAGCAGGAGGGGCTGCTGCAGCCTTGGGGGAGGGGCAGGTTCTTTGGCCCCCAAGGGGAAGGGCGTGACCACTGTCAAAGAGGTCGGGGGGAGGTTTAAAAATTTTTTTTCCATTAAATATTCACAATTCCAGATACAATTTTTTTAACGTTTAAGAAAAATTTTGAATTCCAAATTCTCTCCCTCCTGCCCCTTTTTTCTTGAGAAAGCAAGCAATTTGATATGGGTTATAAAAGTGAAATCATGCAGAGTATTTCCATGTTAGCCATATTGCAAAAGAAAACACAAACGAAATAAAACAACAAGAACAAAGAAATCTTTTTGTTTGTTTTTAATTATGCTTCAATCTACATTCAAAGTCCCTAAGTTCTCTCTGGAGGTGGACAGCGTTTTTCATCATGAGTCCTCTGGAACTGTCTTGGATCATTGCCTTGATCAGAGCTGCTAAGTCTTTCACAATCACCCTTTCAATATTGCTTTTACTGTGTACTGTGTTCTGCTTCTGCTCACTTTAGTCGTTTTACGTTCATATAAGTCTTCTTAGGTTTTTCTCAGACCATCTTGCTTGTCATTTCTTATAGCACAATACTATTTAATCATAATCACATACCACAACTTGTTCAGCCGTGCCCCAGTTGATGGTCGTGCCCGCAATTTTTTTGTTTTTGTTTTCAGTTGTTTTTTTTTTGTTTTTAAATTTATTTTAAACTTAAGTAGAAAATAATAAGAAAAAAAATTGCCATGTATACAGCACACAATAAGAGAGGATTCAATATAAAGCAGTAAATTTCCATTTCAAGAAAACCTGTATAATAAACATTGTTTTCAAAGCTGCCCAGCTTTTCTTTGCTTCCTTGTAGATTTTTATTCTCTGCTGTGCACTTTTTACTTTATTTTTTTCCCCTTTCCCTGTCCCCAAGCTACAATTAAGTGGGGATATATGTGTGGGTACACACACACACACACACACACACACACACACACACACACACATATACATAGATATCTGTACACATATATACACACATACTCTCATACACATGTATGTAAGACCACACTGTGTTTATTTGCACTTGTCATCTGTTTCTCTGAAGGTGGATAGCATCTTCTTTCATAAGTCTCTTCCCATGTTTTTCTAAATCAACCAGCTCATCATTTCCTACACCACAGCAGTATTCCAGCCCGATCACATTCTTTCTGATTGTCTATGAAAGTTCCCCCCCACCCCCAATTTCCTGCATTCCTTCTATTTCTTGGCTGCACAGGTTTTATTTATACAAGAAAATTTTCATTTGAAATAATCAAAATTATCCATTTACACTTCAATAATACTACTGAATCTGCTTCCTTTTCCCTTAGTTTCTTTGAAGTTCTTGACCTTTTGTTCTTCTAAATAAACTTTATTATTTTTTGTAACTCAGTAAGACAATTTTTTAGTAATTTAATTGGGATGACATTGAATAGATTAGGTAAAATTGTCATTTTAAAAATTATGTTGGTTTTACCTAGCCACGGACAATAAATATTACTAAAATTTTTAGATCTAATTTGTTTGTATAAAAAGTGTTTTATGTTTGTATTCATATAGTTCCTGTGTCTGTTTTGGCAGGTATACTCAGTTATTTTATACTATCTAGCTTTTTTAAGTAGTCCAAAATAACATTAAATAATATGGCTGACACAGTGCGGTTTCCCTGTTTTTCTCTTTTGATTAAATATTTTAGCTTTAACTTTGTCTGAAATCATGATTACTATCCCTGCTTTTTTACATAAAATTCTATTCCTGACTTTTATTTTATATTTGTGTGTATCTCTCATTTTTATAGCATTTCCTGAAAGCAACATATAGTTGAATTCATTTTTTAATCTATTAATTTCCATTTTATGGATAAATTCATCCCATTCACATTCTAAGATATAATTACTTGTATATTTTCCTCCTTTGTATTTTTCCTCCTTATGCTTCTCACCCTATTCCTATCCCTCCTCTGCTTTACTTCTTCTACCTGCTACCTTGCTCCCCTATTTCTTAACCTACCCACCCTTGCAGGAATCCCTCCCTTATCTTCTCTCCCCACCCTATTCCCTTGCCCTCTTATTTCTTTTTTATTTTAAAATACTTTTATCCCCTTCTAGATATATATGTTATTCCCTCTTTAACCCATTCCCACCGAGAGTATGGAGTCAGCACTACCTGCCCTCCCCCCTACTAACTTCTGTAGCAGTTTTTCTTTTTTTGCCTCATTTGTATGAGACAATTGGCTCCTTTTTGTTCCTTACATAGTTTTATTCTTTTTAGAATCACCCCATCATATTCAGCTCAGCCCAAGCCCTCATCACCTCATCCTCCTGGCTTCAGTGAAGTCTCAGCTATAATTTTACCTTCTGAAAAAATGTTTTTCCTCATCCCTGAAACTGTTATAGCCTTCCCTCTCATATTACTTCAATCTCCATAGTTGCTCACATGTTGTTTCTTTCATTTAGATTGTGAACTACTTGAGGGCAGGAACTGTTTTTTCTTTCCTTTGTATATTATGCTGGGTAAGCATAATGCCTGGCACAGAGTAGCCACTGTCCAAATGCTTGGTGACTTGACCTAAGAAATGACAGATGGGAGAGATTCAGAGAGACTTAAGAGAACTTGTGTGAAACGAAGCAGGGTGAAATGAGCAGAACAAGGGCAATTTCTGCTCCAACTACAAAATTGTAAAGGACAACAGATGGGGAAGACTTGAGCATTCTGCTCAAGGCTTTTGGTTTTATTAATAATTTCTAAGGTTTTTTTGTTTCTCATTTATTTCCCATTTAAATTTTTACTATTTCCCCTCTTTTGTGCTTATTTTAGGTTTATTTATTGATTTGCTAATTTAAAAATGCATGTTCAGCTCATTAATCCACTCTTTTTCAATTTTGTTAATGCATGTTTGTAAAGGTATGATTTCCCCCTGAGTACTGCTTTAGCTGCATCTTGGAAATTTTAGTATGTTGTTCTATTGTTATTTTCTTTTACATAATTATTGTTTCTGTGATTTCTTCTTTGACCCACTTGTTACTTAAGATTTCATTGTTAAGTGTCCATTTTAATCTGTATCTCTTAATTCTGTTTCCTAAACCAAGTTAGATTTTTATTGCATTATGATATGTAAGAAATGTACTAACTACTTATGTCTTTTTACATTTATTTGTAGCATCTCTGCCCTAGGACATGGTCAATTTTTGTAAAAGTTTAATGTGCTACAGAGAAGTATGTATAGTCTTTTGCTGTCTCATTTAGAAAATATAGATCTTTTAATTCTAGTTTTTCATAAAATGTGTTCAGTTCCATATTTTCCCTTTTGTTTTTGTTAGACTTATCTAAAACTGATAGAGGATACTGAAGTCTCCCATCAATATTGTATTGCTATCTTTGTCTCTCTAATGCTCAGATAGTATTTCCTTTATAAATTTGGATGCAAAGGCATCTGGAGTGTACAAATTTATTACTGATGTTGGCTAGTTGTCTATGGTTCCTTTCAGTATAATATAGTGTCCTTGCTTCTGAATGTTTTTTGTCAGCTTGCATGATGAAAACTCTGCTTTTTTTGGATTGAGTTGATACATAGTGAAATCCTGCCCCCCCCCTCCCCTTAGTTTTTGTGAATGTCTTTTTTTAACCATATGTTTCTTGTAAGCAACAGCTTGTAGGGTTTTGTTTTCTTATCCAGTTTGTCACTTTTTCATTTTATTGAATTGCATAATCCATTCATGTTTTTAAAAATTAGTTTTATTGATATCTTCTGTTTCTTACATCAGCATAGTATCTCATGTATCCCTCATCTGCCCCCTCCCTGAGAGTCATCCTATATGACAGATATATTTTTAGAGAGAAAAAAGTCAGCATATCTGATTGATACATTGAAAAGTCCAAAAACATGTGCAATACAGAATACCTGTGGGCCTCCCACCTACACGATGGGGTAGGTTGAGGGTGGCTTCTTATATCTTTTCATTTGAGTTGCATTAGATCTTTACAATTTTATGACATTTACTTTTGATTTCTTGGTGTGTCACCATTCTTTCCAGTTACGTTGTTATAGTTCTTGTGTACATTTGTTTTCTTGGCTTTGCTTACTTCACTCTGCATCAGTTCATAGAGCTTTTTTCCATGCTTCTCCATATTCATCACACACATCATTTCTTACGGAGAGCAGTATGTCATTACATTTATGTACCAGTTTGTTTTGCCGGTCCCCTATCCATTCACATTTAAAGATATGAGTTAGGTTTACAATTTCCTCCTCATGTCTCTAAAATGCTTCCCCCCCCAAGTTATGATCGTTCTCCCTCTTCTACTGTAAACAGAGTGTTATGTTCCTTCAGTTAATTTACTATAATCTTTTTTTTACGGTGACCCTGTTCCCATTGACTTTTTCTCCCTCATCCCCAACCCCCTCTTCTCACTTGTTAACCCTTTCCTTTTAGGGTTTTGCATATTAGTTCCTTTTTCTTTCCTTTTATCTGGTTATATATTTCTTCCCTCTATTTTTTCCTCTCAGTCAAATAGATTCTTCCTTCTTCTCCTCCTCTTCAGCTAGTTTTTTTAGTTTTTCAAACAGTTCAGTTTTTAAATTTCATTTTTTGTGTCCCTTTCCAAAAAATGATTTCTCTCACTTTCTTCATTATCTATCTTATTTTTCTGCGTTCCTTAGATCTTTATTCTCTGATTCATGTTCTTATAATTATCTGGTTTCTCTTTTCTCTGTATTCTTGATGCAATCAAAGCTTCCTCGGAATTCATTCTAGGGTCTCCCCTCTAGCCTTTTTCTCCCACTGTTTTGTAGGGTTTGCCCCCAGATTCCTCTTTTCCACTGTGCCTCGCTGCTCTAGAACAATGGTAAAGCCTCTCCCCCTCTGTGTCCCTGGTTATGCAGCCCATCATTGCTCTATTCCCTCACATTTGCTCTTTTTCCCATGTTTGCCTGGAAATCTCCCCATGTCCATATTCTCCAACTTCTCCAGGTACCATTTAATCCTACAGTTCCCAACCCTCAATATAAGACAAGTAGATTTTCTGTTCACCACAACCCCCAGGCCTCATCTAGGGTAAGGTCCTCATCTTCCTTTACCCTCATCTCTTTTCACCCATTTCATTCACTCATCAGTGGAAGCCCCTCCAGCCTCCAAAGTAAGGCCTCCTTTAGTATTTCCCCTCTCTTCCTTACTTACTCCTCCATGGGCTCTTGTCTTTCTGAGATCATAGCCTTCATTGCTATCCCTTTATTTGATCCTGGTGTTTCACACACACTCCTCTCCATTCCCTTGCTTCTCTCTCTTTTATGTACCCACCCACATAGTGTCCCACTAAAAAGGCATTGGTTCCACTGTAGTAGGCAAGGTGTCACCAAGTTCTTTCCATAATGCACTATGTCCATCCTTTCACTGTTAGCACTACCAGATTTCCACTTTAATCTCTATTTCCTCATGTACATTTAGGAATCTCTTACTGGTCTATGTTGTCACTTTGTTTCTGTTGCTGTCCTTCCCTGCCGAATTTATTCACTCCTCATGTATTTCTGTTGTTTGGGTTGTTTGAGGGGCAAATAATTTCTTCAGTTAGAGTTTTCTTTCTAAAAATGTTATCAAACTCTTCTTTACTGTTGAATGTTCATCTTTTGTCCTGTGTGGTTAAGGTCAGATCTGCAGAGAATAGGCATAAGATTCAGGTAGGCTCAGTATCGTAAACTCTGTTAAGCCTTAAGAGTCAGCCAGAAACGTGAGCTCTAGGGAACTCAAAGTTGCTGCAGCTTGGAAACATACACTTGTTTCAGTGCCAGAATACTGAAATGAAGATGCAAAGCTAGGTGAATTCATACCTTCTCCATGAGTCAAGCAAAGGGCAGGGTTACTTTTATAAAAGAGGAAGATGATTTTGATCAAATGCATTTCCTTTGTGGAACTGAAAGTCAATTGATCTCAGCTGCTTAAGGGCAGACTATGAAGACATGTAGACATGTTCTAAGAGCATTTTACATTAATTTTGGGAAATTGAGAAATAGAACCCACTGACACAGAAGGAAGGGAAAGTTGAAGGCTATGAAGAGAGGGAATTAAGTATTGCTCATTTTTCTAGTAAATTGATACCCAGCAATAGTAGGATTAGTAAAATTTTCCAGAAGGAAAGGGTAATATAAAAAGCCTCAGGACTGAGAAGTTTGCATTTAATGAGGTTCTGCCTCTGATTCCCCAATGCTAGCATCTTATGAATTGTAGGCTGACATCCCTTAGTACTGGCCTATGATGGAGCCAAAGCCTTTTACAGCTCTGACCAAGACTGAGTCTGAACGTGGGTAACAGTGGTGGCAGTGGCAGACAAAACCCTTTAACATTAAGGCTACTGGTAGAGTCAAACTGAGTACATGGGAAGGGGGGAGGGGGAGAATCTAGAAGTTGCCAATAAGGTCATAAACATGGAATGTGAGTAGTCTTTAATATAGTCTCAGAACCTTTGTTATTAGAGATGACAGGAGGTTGGAGTCTGGATCATGGGAGAGAAAATGGAATCTATGTGTTAGGGAAGATGTCACAAGCTGTTGACCACTCCAGAGTAAGAGGTACTGAGCTATTCTGTTTTTCAGCTTAGCCTTACCAAGATCTGAAGAAGGATATGGATACCTGGAGGATGGACACCATAGTACTCTACTCTGCCATCACCTTCTGCCCAAAATAGGGTCCTTAATACACATGACTGTGAATTTGGTCATCCATGGTCCAGCCATGGCTTAAGATTCTGGCTTGTTCGGGTTGCAATCATGGCTCACATAATGTCCAGCTAGCAAGAACGGTTCAACTAGGCTTTGGCCTAACTGTGCCTTCTTAAGAGAGACTGGAGCAACGCACCCAGAAGGAAAATTCTCAGGGCATTTTTCTCTCCTGCCAATGCAATCACCCACCTGTTCTCCCCACAAAGATGAATGCTTCATTAAAGCATTTAATTCTAGGAACTGCAAAATGAAGTTACCTGCTGCATCTGCTTGAACTGCTTTCCTAAGCCAATCACCACTGACAATAAGGAACAACTCTTCCTAAGCATCTTTCTCCAGAAACTGCAAAGTCAGACCATGCTCTTGTCCTGAACACAGGCAAGTCTTCCAGATCAGACTTCCCTGCACTCAGTGTTCACCTCAAAAGGCTGACTGACATTGACAGGCAGTTCAGCTCCCACCGTGTGCAGAGGATTGAAGGACAGAGTCAATGTCACATTCACCAAAAAGTCATTAAGCTGTTTTGTGAGGCAAACCAGACATCACTCTGTGTGCCTTGTTACCAAGCCAAAGGAGCATGGGGCCCACACATTTTTCTCCTTCAGAGGAAGCCATTCAAAATTAAAGGGTGAGTAACATGAGTTAGTGGAAGGACTGAAGACTCTCACTGTGTTTCCTATGCCTCAGCCTTGAGCCCCTCCACATGAATCTCAACAAGGGGGAGGCAGCTTGAGACAGAAGAAAATCCAGTGGCTTGCAAAAATGGAGACCAAGTCCTTGGGGCTAGGCTGGGCTGCCAACTAATATTAAGGTCTTTGAAAACTAAATAGGAAGCAAGGCCATTATATATAAAAAGGAAGTGAATTGAAAGAAGGATCTCAAAGTTGCCTACTGCTTCAGATATCTTATAGTCATGTCCATTTTTCTCCCCTCTCCTCTCCCATTAGTCTTTTGTCCCTTGCTTAACTCCCTCTCTTCACACCTTTCCACTTTCCATTCCTTCTGTGACAGTGGGTTCTATTTCTCAAAGAGAAATTTCTCAGAGAGATTGAATAAGACTAGCACATCTTGGTGAAGACAATCAAAGTTTTAGATACAAACTCTGCCAAGAGACATAGAGTAAACCTGGGATATTACTAATAAATCAGTGGAAATAAACCCAAAGATCCTTTCTATTTCTCTTCCTTTTCACATGGTTTTCTAGACCCCTAGCTTTCCAGGTTTGAATGTCATCTAAATCATCCAAACCTTTGGAAATACCCTCCCTTGCAGCCTCAAGACACACCTACTGAGGAAGATTTTGATTCCTTGAATCTCTTTGCTTATAGGGCTAAGATTCAGCATCAAAACATTTCTTAGGAACTCACACTCCTGTTTCCTAAAGGTCCAGGAAACAACTCTCAAGTTATTTCTGGAAAGAGTTTGAAGAAGTCCCAAAACTTCTCTCTTTGGAGGAGAAGGTAAGTACTTTGCTCTGACTTGTCTAATTTTTCTCCATGATGATATAGTCAGACCTGCATTCAGATAGGCAATCAATGTTTAGCGAAGGCCAACATTTCCAGACAATTTACCGGACTCCTTGGGATGTGCTTTGCAATCTTCTCAAGAGCACACAAAGTATACACCAAAGAAACATTTTAAATCTGTTTACAACTAACTGGTTAATTCAAAATTTTCAAATTTGGGGCAGCTGGGTGGTGCAGTGGATGGAGCACCAGCCCTGAAGTCAGGAGGACCTGAGTTCAAATCTGGCCTCAGATGAAACACTTGACATTTACTAGCTGTGTGACCCTGGGCAAGTCACTTAACCCCAATTGCCTAACAAACAAACAAAATTTTCAAATTTGTAGAATAATTTCTGAGGGAGGAGGTAACAGAAAATAATGTTATAATTGGATAGAACAAATGAGGCCAGTCTCCTTTCAATGGGAGGTTTGCAATATATTTCATAGCTTTGGACAGAAAATCCTGACCGGCAGAAACAAGGCAATAAAAACTGCTAATGGTGGGACTAGAAGGAGCTGTCAGGAACTAACCCATTCATTTAGACATATTAAGTGAAGAAATGGAGTCTATGTTTATTTTGACAATGATGGCTATTGGTGTTAGGAGCAAAGGGAAGGCAAAGCAGAGTTGGCTTCTGGGGGAGGGGTTAGTTCAGCAAAAGCAGTAAGGAAAGTTGGGATTTTATCAGGAGAGGATACTGTTAAATGTCTTCCCTTTGTCCCTGTAAAGACCTTTAGTTGACTGGAGTGGGATGGTTAGGGGGAAATATTGGAGACGATATCAGTTTGTGATTGAGGAAGAACTTCATTGCCTGAAAAGGCTGGACAAAGAGAAAAGCAAACTGACCCAGCAACCGGAAGCTAATAAGAGCAGGCTGTACCAACATAGCAAAAAACTTAGGGAAGTCTTCCAAGAGCTGCAGGAATCAAGCCACCAAGCCAATGTAGAGCTGCTGCACATGCACCGTGGGGAGCACTGTCCAGAGCTAGATGTGAGGTCCTTGACCAATGAAAAAGCTGCTGAGAAGGTATGTCTCCCTTTGAGCCTTGGATTCGCCGAGCTTTCTGTACTGTAGCCTCTCTGATCATTGTAGGGAGACCAGGCACTGATCAACCCCCTTACCTGGGAAGGGTCATTCACCTTGAAAATGTTTTCTGGGTCAGGGTCCAGAATTTCCACAGGTTTGATTCAGTTTAATGAGATATATTGGGCTTTGCATTGCGAGTGGTGACGAGCATTCAGAATCTAGGAATGTACAGAGGAACCCAGTGAAAGAGGAGAAAGTAAATTCAATTCCTTTATGCACCAAATCAACCTTTCCTCCTCTTCTCTTCTCTAGGATACCAGGGAGCTTCTGGAAAGTTAATTTGCTATTTGGAGTGCAGCAGAGGTGAGGTGAGGCATTAAATGGGTAGTGGGAGACAGGGAGTATTTGCATGGCCTAAAGAGGGAATACAATAACAGAGGAGCTAACATGCCAGTGCCTAGGTTGACAATTATACAGAGGTTTTGTGTTCCAGGTAAAGTATATGGCTTAGGTATATGGAGTAGGCAGAATAGCAGATTTTGTTTGCTTTATAGGAGTCAGTGTTGTCTCAAAGGCCAAAGCTTGTCCTTCCAGAGCTGAGAGAATATCCCATCACTGGGATGAGGGAAATGCTCAATAAATTCCTAGATAAAAAACAAACGTTTGATATCGAGCCAATATTTGGAAATTCAGAGGTGGTTGTCTGTCTGGGCAGTCTCTCCAGCAGATGTAGCTAGCTTAGGGGTCCTGGCACATTGATAAAGGATGCCAAAATAGCCTGCCAGTCAGGGGTGAGATTCAGCATTCTCCTTGGTAGGGATATGAGAAGGGTAAGGGTTATTCATTCTAACATATTAATAATAATTGCCATAATAATAACAATCATGAGGCTAGCATTTACATAGCACTTAAAGGTTTGCAGATCCCTTTATAAATATTGTGTAATCTTATCCACACATCAGCCCTAGGGGGCAGGTGCTATTTTTATCTATTTTAAAGATGAAGAAACAGAGAGTCAAGTGGCTTTCTTCATGGCACACAGCTAATAGGTCATGTCATGATGTGTATTTAGGTCTTCCTGACTCCACCTTCAGCTCTTTATATACCATGCCACCTAACTGCTCCTTGTGTCTCTATCAGCCCATGAAACCTCAATGAGAAACTGCCCCCAAGAAACTATGACCAGAGCACTTTACTATAGCCACTTACTTCCTGGAACATTCTGTGAAAGACAGACTTTCTCATCTGTTGGAAAATTAAACTGTCGGTGAGCTTAAAATGTTTCCTATCGAGTCTTCCTATGAACTCCTTTGCTGCCACAAAATTATAACCCAATTTATGCCAGAAGTATGAATTCTCAGCCTCCCACATTGTACTTTCATCCTTGATCGCATCTTCTGTCTATACATAGCTGCTCATGTTCTCAGAATCTTTAAGTGACAAGGATGATGGCACAAGAATATCTGAATAGGAAATCATGAAAAAATCAATCATAGCTCACATTGGGTCCTCTGGAGCTGGTGCCTGGACTGAATGCTGCATGAGGATTGGAAAGATGCACTGGGGTGCATTTTAGCCTGACATCAGAACCGGAGGGGTATCCCCTGGATGGTTGTCTACATTCAGCAGGGACCGCTAGTGAAGATGAGGAGGTTGTGCAAAGGAGATCGGAGCTCCCTGCAACAAACTTGTCCAGGAAACAGGAACTGCTCAGGAAGAGAAGGGAGGCTTTGAAGAGTGAACTAGCCCAATTCCTCTCTCTACAGTGGACATCAGAGTGGATCCTGCAGCAGCCAATGCCTTTATAACTGTGTCTGGTGACCTGAAGAGTGTGAGACCTGTAGAAGCCTGGCAGGTTGAGCCCAACAGCACTGAGGATTCTGCTTATTATTGTGTCCTTGGAGACCAGTTCTTCAGTTCTGGCAGACACTAGTGGGAGGTAGATGTGAGAGATGCACTTCAGTGGACAGTGGGGATTTAGACCCACTATTTGAAAAGTAGGAAGAGGAACCAGGATTTCCCAGCCTGTGTGTTTCTACTCTACCATGTGAAGAGGGAAGATCATTTCTATTTCATGATGTACCTGAATGATTATATCAGGAAATGACAACCCCTGTGGCTTGATGGTGGGTGGTTATCTGGATTATCTCATTTCTTCTGGTACTATCCTGTTTTACAGAGTTCTGTATATTCCATTCACAGAGCTTATCAAGGCCTTCTCTTCCAGTCCTCCCCATTGCCAGGACCTCAAAGTTAAAATAAGGGGCTGGAGCAGAATCTGTTATGCTTCAGATGAAATAAAAAAGGCAGGGGTAGCAATCATGATCTCAGATAAAGCAAAAGTAAAAATAGACTTAATTAAAAGAGATAAATAAGTAAACCACATTTTGCTAAAAGGTACAATAGAAAATGAAGTAATATTAATGCTAAACATGTATACAACAAATGGTATAACATCCAGATTCTTAAAGGAAAAGTTAAATGAGTTACAGGAGGAAACTGACAGTAAAACTATACTAGTGGGGTACCTCACCTTCCCCTCTCAGAAGTAAATAAATCAACCCATAAAATAAATAAAAGAGAAGTTAAGGAGATGGATAGAATTTTAGAAAAGTTAGATAGACTAGACCTTTGGAGAAAACTGAATGGGAACAGAAAGGAGTACACCTTTTTCTCAGTTGCATGTGGCAACTTCATAAAAACTGACCATCTATTAGGGCATAAATACTTCACAAACAAATGCAGAAAAAATTAAATGCACCCTTCTGGGACCGTAATTTGATAAAAATTGTATTCAGTAAAGAGTTGTTGAAGCAAAGATTAAAATTAAGTGGACTTGGAGCCAGAAAGACTCATCTTCATGAGTTCAAACCCAGCCTCAGACATTTACTAGCTGTGTGACCCTGAGCAAATCATTTAACCCTGGTTGTCTCAGTTCCTTATCTGTAAAATAAGTAGGAGAAAGAAATGGCAAACCACTCCAGTATCTCTGCCAAGAAAATCCCAATGGGGTCATAGAGAATCAGACACAACTGAAAAATGACTTAACAAAAATACCCCCCAAATATCTTCACAATGACAAACCCAACGAGTGATGAACCAACTTCTACTTGAAGACCTACAAGTCTGGGGGACCTGGCTCATCTCAATAACATATCCTCACAGCTTGAAATGACTGGCATGGTTTTTGAAACAACAAGCTGAAATTTATATCATTTCAACACTTATCCACTGAAAGTCCTATTTGTTCTCCTAAAAAAATTATGTGTTCAGAATTATTTCTCAGAAATTATACCTTTGTTAACAGGAAAGAGAAATCATAAGAGACTTATTAAGACTGAACTGTTTACATTCCTGCATGGAAAGATGATATTTATAACTCATGAGACCTTTGTCAGTATTAGGGTAGTTGGAGGAAAAAAATTATATGTATGTATATGTAGATAGATAGATAGATAAGAGGGCACAGGGTGAGCTGAAGATTAAGGAGTCACATCTGGAGAATAAAATTAAGGGATGAGAGAGGATTATACTCAGAGAAGAAGAAAGGGAGAGGTAGAATGGGGTAAATTATCTCACAAAAAAAACCCCAGAAAAGTCTCTTACAGTGGAGGGGAAATGGGGGAAGGTGAAAGGGAATGAGTGAATCTTATTCTCATAGGATTTGGCTTAAGGAGGGAATAACATACATGTTCAATTGGGTATGGAAATCTGTCTTACCCTACAGGAAAATAGGGGGGAAAGGGGACAAGAGAGCAGGGGGATGATAGAGAGGAGGGCAGATTGGGAAAGGGGGTAATCAGAAGTAAATACTTCTGAGGAGGGACAGGGTCAAAAGAAAGAATAGAATAAATGGGAGGGCAGAATAGGATTAAGGGAAATAGAGTTAGTTTTTCAGAACATGTCTACTAAGGAAGTGTTTTGCATAGCTGCACGTGTACAACCTATATTGAGTTGCTTGCCTTTTCAATGAGGGTGGGTGGGGAGGGAAGAAGAGAGAAAATTTGAAACCTAAAGTTTTAAAAACATATGTTTAAAAAAATGTTTTCACATGCTCCTGGGAAATAAGAAATATAGGAAATGGGGTACAGAAGTCTATACTGCCCTACAGGAAAATAGAAGGGGAAGGGGATAAGAGAAGGGGGGAGAGATAGAAGAGAGGACAGACTAGGGGAAGGGATATTCAGAATGCATGCCATCTTGGGGTGGGGGGAGGGGGAGATGGGGTGAAAATTTGGAACTCAAAAACTTGTGGAAGTGAATGTTGAAAACTAAAAATAAATACATTTATATTTAAAAAAAAGAAAGAAAAAAATAAGAAGTTATACCTTTGTTGTTCATTGGTTTGACAATGGTGAACAGTGAGGATGCATACCAGTTTCTATCAAGTAATCAACAGTTATTTTTAAGTGCCAACTATATGCCAGACACTGTAACAGACACAGAGATTACAAGTGTGTGGAGTCACTGTCACCTCCCAATGATCTAACCCCCTTAAGAAAGGGATACATGTACATACATACACATATACACATGCACATTATATAAACATATATGTGTCTATATCTGCAAATGCTTACATGTACTTTAAGTGTGTGCACATGCATATGGCAGTTAGAAGTTAACCCATGTGAAAGGTGAGAAAAATGAAAATGTCAAGTCCTTAAGCATTAACAAGAAAGACTGCTAACAGGGACATAAACCAATCTTCAGGATTATCTCCTGGTTGTGCCTTGAAATCGACTCCTCTAACTCTACAGCAGAACTTCTCTCCTGAACCCACTCCCCACCCCCTCCTGACCTGCTAGACATAGTTGACGAGGAAGGTAATCTCCACTCTTCATCAGAAGCTCTGCTTGGTTTGGACTCCATGTAACAGTAGGCCCCACTCCGGATAAGCTGATCAACTGAAATCTCACCATGCAGATACTCAGCACAGTCTCAACTTGTCAGTGGCCTCTCCTCTCTGATTGAAGGGCTGGGAGCTAGAGCACTAACCTCATTCCAAAGCCTTCCTTCCTTCACAGAGAGCTGTGAACTTTCAGAGCTTTCCTGGTAACTCTCCAACTTGCATTAGCAGTTCTGCTTTCTTTGGACTCCATGGAACAGTGTATCCCAATTTTGGATGCTCCATGATACCCTCTTGCTTTTCTGATTCCTTTTGTGTGTTGTCTTGTTCCCTTAGCTTGTAAGCTCCTTGAGGGCAGGCACTCTTTGTTTTACATATTTGTTTTTCTAGCACTTAGCAGAATGCCTGGCACATAGTGAACAGTTAATAAATGGTAATTGAAATGAAATGAAATGAAGGTGCTGAAAATATGCTGCTGTTTATAGAATATGGACTGTTTATAGAATAGGATTTCTCCAAGGTTGTAGAGGTTTCCCTAAGAACCTCCTTCATGATGTGCACGACTTACAAATGGAGTTGCCTCTGATTCTGCCCAGAAATAAGAAATGGAGATGACAGTGGGGAAGACAGCTTCATTGGCTGTGTCAGGCCCGAGTGTAATGGAAATGAAACCCAGAAGGTTCTAGTCCTGTCTTCTCAGGGTGTACTTAGGATAGGATAAGTTCCAAGAAGGAGGATGTTGCCTCTATGTAACCCAGTCTTAGCATCAAACTATAGTCAGTTCAGTCAGTCAATAATCATTTATTAAGCACCTACCCAAGTGCCAGGCACTGTATGAAGTCCTAGGCATACAAAGAAAGGTAAAAGACAGTCCCTGCCTTCAGGGAGCTCACACCAGCAATTAGGAGGACCCTAAAATGGAATGATAAGGAATGTCATAAAAATTGTAAAAAAGTATACAATACCAAAGATTTCAGGAGGAAAAATTCAACAAAAGCCCAGACCACAATAAATTAAAACAACAAAGAGCATCCTGATAAAATAAGGAAGGAAAATATGAAGCTTGATTAACAAATGAAGACAAAAGAAAGTTCAATGTTTAATGAAATTCAAAAATCTTAGAATTCCAAAAATGACATGAAACAAGTAACTCTGGAATGTTTCAAAAGTTTTAGGAAATATATAAAAGGCTAATACATGAAAATGGGTTAGAAATTGTTTTTGACCCAAAAATTTAAAACTCAATTTGCAGGATGGAAAAAAAAAGCAAGCTGGTATTCTTTTTATAATAGTGAAATAAGAAATAACTAATTTCAAAAAGAAAATTACTGCAGTGAATGGAAGAGGCTCCTCACAGCATGAGTTGAATAAAACCTTGTCTGTGGAGATAGATTGTTCCCCTAGCTAAATTCTGCTGATTGGCCCTTTTGTAAAAAGCAACCAGGCAAGGGTTTGGGACCAGGTGTCTTACTAGGTACCTTTCCACCTCATACCCCCTCCAAGGGACAGGAAGTAGAAGACTCTAACTACCCTGATTGTCCCAGGTACTTCTACACACTGGCTTCTCACCCTGGGCCTTAACTCTCCAATAAATACTCTTCACCCTTACTGGAATTGCCAATCCTGTCTCCTCATCTTTCCTTGGGCCATTAT